GCATGTTCCTAGGATTTCTGTTTCAGAAAGGCGGGGCATAGAGGAGAAACAATAATGTACATTATATGGAAAATAATGTGTTTTTTTAACTTTAAACCGCATAAACACATTGCATTACACCAGATACACAAAATAATGTCCTTTTTAGCAACGTCATATGACCCCTTTAAGTTAATTTATCCTCCAGTTTCAAAGGTAAAGGATATGAAAAATCACCTTTTCATGTTCTTGAAGCTGTGTCTGTTTCATGACTACTTCTGCCTTGAGCTCCTGCAGCTGTTGATTTAGTCTGTCCAGCTTCTGTTGTCTCCTCTTGATCTTCTCCTCTTTCTCCTGCAGTTCAGCCTTTTGCTCCTTCTGTTGCTTCACTAGCTCTTCCCGCTGCCTTCTCGCAGCCTTCACCTCCTAAACACAAACAAGAGAAACACTTTTCATGCCACGGGACAGTAAACCCCACTAGATATGCAGTGTTTTGCTGCAAACTCACCTCTCTGATCTCATCTAACCGAGTTTGAGATTCCACCAGCTGTTTCTTCAATCTGCTCAACTCCTCTGTGGGTAAAACCAAGCATTTCAGTGTGTTTATTAAAATAAACACATAAGAGCTGATGTCAAAGTAAGGCTGTTGAGCGGATACCCTCATGCTGCTGCTGCATGGCTGCCGTGTCCCTGTTGATCTCCTGATGTTTATTGTGTGCGTGTTTCTGGTCCTGTTGTAGTTTGTCCAGCTCAGTCTGTAGTCTAAGCAGCTCTGTTTCTGCAGTCCTCGCCCTCGTCTCTGTTGCTTCCAAACACCTGAAACCACAGCAATATAATCCATTTAAGCTACACCATAAACATGAAATCCATCAAGTCTAGATCATTCTAGAAGATTTAAACTATATATATATTTTTTTAAACTGAAGAACAGTTGGACTGAAGTAGTGCTAGCAATAGCCTCAAAGAGTCAGAGGTTATGTACAAAATCTCTCCATATGCCCTCATTCAGTAGCACTAATATAGTGCACTTGAAGGACTGAATGAAAAAGAATGAGCAAATTTGGACACTCAGTGCACCAGAAAGGCTGTCCCTTTTGCCCCTACCATGAAATATGTCATAGAAACTAGCTTGTATAAACCATTTAAATTAAAATAAATTAAACAATTTAATAATTAAGACCCAGGAATTCATTTTGCATGGCCCTCACAGTGTATTATGGGTATTCTCTAGCCATTTAGTGTACATTGGTCATACACTCAGTGGCTACTTTGGTTTTGGACACCACTACAAAATGGTTGTCCCCTCAGAAAGTGTATTTCAACATGTCAAGTCCAGATTTCCATCTGTATTTTTATGCATATTTATGATAAAAAAGAAAAACATTCTGAAGTTTCAATTTTGTTTTCTTGATGCTTTATTGCCACATTTTTGCTCATCCAGGATGTATCTCTCCCCTAGGCTGAGACATAATAATAATAATAATAATAAAATGCAGTTTTTTTGGTAAATTAAACTTTTATTAATTTTATTTAAGTTGAATGAAAACATAGCTATTGTTGATTCTGGCCAAGAACTGATCACTTAGACGAAGGTAAATTACTGATCGACATTTAAATCAACCAACCACAGTTAAATTTTATTAATATTTCATATAGGAGCAGATAAGTCTGAAATCATAACTGTCATAATAATAATAACAGAACCAACAAGTATTGATGGAGCAGTCTTTTCAATATGATTCAAACATCTCGAAAGATTGTTCAGACAATGTCAAAGAAATGTGAGAAAATGTTTGAAATGTTCTATACATTACCTCTGTGCATGTGTCCGCATGGCCTCCAGGTTTCTGCACTGTTCCTGCAGGCTGCTCCTCTCTTGGACTGCTGTGTCTGTTTGCTGTTGCGGGTCGAGGCACTTCTGTTGGAGGGTGTGCAGCTCTACTCTCTCTTTCTCCAGCAGGTTCATCTGTCTCTCAGCCTCCCCACGCTGCTCCTGTAGCTCCTGCTGCACGCGCTGCAGTTCTACACGCACCTGAGCAGCAGGCACTCGAAGGTTAACTTCACATCTTACTCCAGTCTCAGCACAGACAGTACAGGTGAAGGTAAAATGTTTAGAACTGACCTGTAGCAGAGTTTCCTGGCTCCTCTCTAGCTGGTCCAGTTTCTGGCTCTGCTGAAGCTCCACACCCTCTAATTCCCCTGTCTCCAACCGGACCATTTCCAACACATGCTTCAGCTCTAAACACACACAAATTCCACACAGCTGAACACAAATTAGGAGAACCACGATATTTCCAAAACTGATACTATCTGCGGATTTTTCCACTCTGTCAACTTACAAAACCAAGTTTGAACAGCCTGTTCAAAAAAAGTCATGTCATCTGTTTAACACTTTTTCCTGCAGTAGTTTTTCATTTTTACTTGGTCTGACAACATTTTCACTGGACCCACCACAAAAGATGATTTGTTTTATATTTACAATATATTTTAGATTTGCTAGAAATATTTATAGTTTTATTTACATTTTTTCTTTACAAAAAGAAAACGTTATTTAAAAATAAAGATGAAAATTACAAAATGTAGTTAAAATGCAACTATAAAATTCATAAACTTTTTACTTAGTTCGTAGTCTTTAGCACATCTTACTGGTACTTTTAAAACTATAAACTGTTTTTATATAAGCTCATTTCTGTTATCTAGCTAGACAACATTACTTTATTGTTGCAAGTCTGCTTGCATCGTCACCAATGTGAATGTGCCACAGAAAACTAGACCAAAATGAGCAACTAATAGATGTACACGATCAATAAATGTCAAACCTTTAGTAGCAACAAAGGATTGGCCCTCAGGGGAAAGTGACTATTCCCTCAACTGACCAGAAACCCTCTCACGAGGGCCACTGCTAATTTTTGAGCCCTGTAATGGAACCGCAACAGTAAAGAGGTTTCCTTTCTACCTTTCGTCTTCCACTCACACCATTGGTTGAGCCAAATGTCGAACTGGCCACTCTGTTGTAACAGACCTGCTTTATGTTTTTTGATGGCTGAATGGAGGTTCTGCAGGGTTTCCTCCTCCTTCTGCTGCTCTTTCTTATACTGTGCCAGTCTGTTTTTCTTCTCGGACAGCTGAGAGTCCAGCTCTCCCTTCTGCACGGCCAGAGACTGCACATCCACACGGAGCTCCTACACATATCCAGACTGTTCATCAAAAGTACTTCCTAGATATTTAAACAATGCACTCATATTTTGTGCATGTGAAAAAACCTGAATGCGCTGGTGTAAGAGTTGGGCATCCTCCTCTCCCTGTCTGAGCACATCCAACAGGCCCTGCCTGTGTTTCTCCACACTAATTCTCAACACTTCCTCTTCCTTCTTCCATTGCTCCAGCTTCCTGTCCAGCAAAGACAGCTCCTCCTGCTGCAACACCACCTGTACCCCACACAAGAAACCCACAGTCTTTATAGCTACACACTATCTAAAAAGTTTTTTTATGCTCACAATGGCTGCATTTATTTGATCACATAAAAAGCAATATGTGAAATAATTTTAATTCATATAAAATTATTTATATGAATAAATATTATTTATTCATATAATAATGAATATAATTTAATATAAATAAATGTTTTCTATTTTAGTATATATTAAGAACTTTCAGCAGCCATTACGCCAGTCTTCAGTGTCACATGATCCTTCAGAAATCATTCTAATATGCTGATTTGAGGCTCAAGAAACATTTATTATTATTATTATTAATTTTGTAAACAGTTGTGCTGCTTAATATTTTTGTGGAAACTGTCAGATTTTTTAAAGCTTTTTTTCACCAAAGTAATTTGTTGCATTATAAATGTATTTATAATCTATTTAATCAGTCTTTGCCGAATAAAAGTATAAATTTCTTAATTGTTACCCGAGCGCTGACTTGGTCCAGCTCTGTTTTGCGTCGTGATAGACATTCTTCTGTCTCTCTGCAGCTCTGCAAGAGTTTCACCTCCAGGCTCTGGGTCTCTCTGAGCTCTTTCTCAGCTGTTTCCAGTCTATATAGAAGAGACAGACAGTTCAGTGGAGAGACATTTCCTGCAGTTAGAGATTTACAGAAATGAGAGTTGTCACACCTGTCAGTCGCTCTCTCCAACCTTCTGTTGACTTCTTGAAACTTTGCATCTTGACATGCGAGGACCTCCTCTACTTCGTGTAGAGTGTGTTCTTGGTCCTGTTTTCTTTTCTGCAGCTCCTTAACCTCCTCTTGAAGATTCCTGCAGCAGCACATTTACAAGTGTCAATTTTCACTATTAGCAATTCTCTAGCTCAAACAAAACTTGATGCACACTCACAGAAAAGCCTAAAAAGCTGCTGTCATGCTTCATTTAAAAGTAGACAATTTGTAGGTTGATTTTCCCAAAAAGTGGTCCCTTCAATACTGTGCTAACTTTTAATCTGAACAATGGCAGACGGAAAATTGTTTGGTAAACAATTCTGTTTGGTGCCAATAATGGCATAAACGTAAATTACACGCAGCTTTATGGATTCAGATTGAGAAATGTGTTGTCGTTGTGTTTACCTGAGCTGTTGTTTGGTTTGCACCAGCTGTGTGGCACCGTCTTGAGCTCTCTGTTCCATCTCCACCAGCTCTCGTTCTGTCTCTTTCACTCGCCTCCTAGCCTCATTGTAGCGCTGTACGCTTTCTTTAGTCTGCAAACACACATGCATTACATCATTAGCATCTTCTTATAAGACGTCGATGTATATATTTAGGAAAACCAGTGTTGGGAAAGCTAACAGTATTCACTCTACTCTTTTAAATAAGTAGTTGTTTATACTACAAGCTAGTAACAAAGAGTAGATCATTACAATGAAGCAATATAATGTGGCTGTAATATTGTGAAATATTATTACAATTTACAATAACTAACTTCTATTTCAATATAGTTTAAGTCATTTCTTTCTGTGATTGCAAAGGTGAATTTTCAGCAACCATTACTTGTCAGCAGTCTTTGGTGTCACATGATCCTTTAGAAATCATTCTAATATGTGGATTTGGTGCTCAAGAAACATTTCTTCTCATTATCAATGTAGAAAACAATTGTAATTGTATTTGCATGGTGTATATATATATATTTTTTTTACATTCTTACTGACCCCGAACTTTTGAATGGTAGTGCATAAACTAATATAAATATAGACTTATATAAATATAGACAAAAATAATTAAAAGCCTTAATTTTTATCCACCTTATATTTCCCGTAAGAGCAGGTGCGGCCATTTGTAAATTTAATGTGTCTGGCTTCTGGTGTCATCCGCTTTCAGCCATTTTTAGCTGTACAAAATATTGCAAACTGGTGTGTCTTCCCATATTATTTTAATGTATTATCTTAATTATGAACACACTGGTTTGTAGTGCAAACAGTTTTACAGTTTACTGCACTTATTCTTCTCATTATTTCCCTACAGCGGCTAATGAACCAGAAGTCTCGCACATTCACAGAAAACGGCTTACTTCCGCATTGAAAAATAAGGTTTATACGAATTCAAAAAACAGTATGATAAACAGCATCATTTAGCGAAATATTTATTGCGCAGGGAGTGATGACTGAATCACACTGAATCAGTTATTTTTTAAAATATATTTTTGGTTCACTTTTATATATGACACTGGAGAACTGACAGAAATGTGAAGGAAGAGAGAGAAGACAAGCTATATTGCGCTTTTGTCTTGGTACTGAAAAATGTAGTGAAGTTAGTAGTGTGCCTCCCCAACACCGAAGAACATAGTGTCAGACCTTGGCTCGAGTGTCTTTGAGCTGTGTCTCAGCCTCTAGCAGCAGCCTGTCAACCTCTCTGAGCTCCGCTCTGCGCTTCAGCAGGGTCTTCTCCACACACTCCACCTCTCCCAGCACACACTGCTCCTCCTCTGCATGTGATAAGGAGCCTTCCAGCCCACTCCTGATGAACCAAAAACAGAAAGGCATCTGATATTTTTGTGTACATTTCAGAGGTGTTCATTTAGTGTGATATATTAAGTCTATATTGAGTAAGATATACTGGTGTTGATATGCTGACTGACATGTGGCGCTGCAGTGTGTGGACAGTCCTGCGCAGGCATTTGATTTCCCGCTGTAGGTCTGCTGTTTTTTCTTGAAGTGCTTGCTGTTCTTTATCACTGTGAGCTCTATCAGCGCACTCCTCTTTCAGCCTATGCTCTGCCTTCTTCAGATGTCGCTCCTGAAACACAAACCAAAACTACTTAGCTTGAAAATGATGGACATTTACATGCCATTTACATGCACACTACCAAAAGTTTGGGGTCAGTAAGATTTGTAATTGTTTTTGAAAGAACTCTTTTATGCTCACATAGGTTGCATTTATTTGACAAAAATGCAATAAAAACAGTAATATTGTGAAATCTGATTCAAATTTTAAAGATAACTTTCCTTTTTTAATATATTTTGAATTGTAATTTAATCCTGAAATGGCAAAGCTGAACTTACAGTCTTCAGTGTCACATGATTCTTCATTCTTTTTTTTTTACATTTGTTTTTGTTTTTTTGGGGTGGTATGGCGGATATGGAAGTTGACAAGAAGATGTCCAGAGAAAATACATTAATATGCTGATTTGGTGCTCAAGTAACATTTCTTATTGTTATCATTGATGAATAGAAGTTCAACAACATTACTTAAAAATATAAATATTTTGTAACCATAATTAATGTCTCTAATGTAACTTTTCATCAATTTAATTCGGCTTGCTGAAAAAAAAAAACTTACTGATCCCAAACTTTTGAATTATAGCACACATAATTGGAATATGACCAAAATCTGATTACAATTAGAAAATCTTTTGTAACATTTATACAGTACATTAAAATGATGTAATACAGTGTAACATTGTAGCGCAACTCAACAGTTGAAATCTGCATATCTCATACCAAGACCTGATGTCCAGGCACATTACAGTGCAGCGTCCCACTGGGCACCAGAGGAATAGTCAGATTGCTGGGAGGAGGTCCGTACATCAGCCTGGCTCCATCAGGGGGCGGCCCATAGAGGACTGTACTTGAGCCAATGGGAAGTCCAGGCGCATGGTGATTGTAGATAAATGAACCAGGAGGAAAAGCAGTACCATCAGGTAGAGTAAATCCAGCAGAGACTGATGGAGGCGTGAAGCGTGTCTCTATATCGCTCTCTCTTCCACTGTCTCTGAACATCTGTGCATCTGAAGAGACATGAGGTCAGATATTACAGGCAGCACTGACATGATATTGACCATGATGACGTTGGAGAGAAAGACTCTGAACTGGGGTTCCATGGCACTTGCCTCTCTTTCCATGAGTGTGAGGATGGGGGGAATAGACCCAGTATCCTCCATTAACAAGTCTTCTCTCCCTGTGTGCTCTGTGGCCAGACCGCCGGCCTCTCTCAGGGGACTGTGGGTGCACAGAGCCCAGTCCTGAGTCTTGTGTGCCCTGAGATCCAAAACTAGGGGCCTGAGGACACATAACATGCTGATTACAATAAAAAAATTGGCATTTACAAGTGCATTCCTTTTCTAATGCTAAAATAGCATGTTTCTTACATTTTGATTTGACGGGACATAGTACCAACATCCTGTGTTTGGCAGGGGATCTCCTAAACTGGACAGGAAGTTATTCTGCTGTAGAAGAGTCTCCCTCAGTGCTCCAATCTCTTCCAGAAGCTCTTCTAGATTTACGTTGTTAGCTAAACAAGCCACAATATATAACAAGACCCATTTTAGCCTTGAAGGAAATGTGCATGGTGTTTGCCCACAAAACATGCCACCATGATGCTAGGGTGTTTTGAGGAGTCATTATGAAAAGATGGTAAACAAACCTTTGTTTGCTTGTGCTAGTTGATCTCTGAGACGTTTGGTTTGGGCCTGTTGTCTTTTCAAGGTTTGGTTTAATCTGTCCAATTCTTGCTGTTGAATACTAGAGTTTGGGACACTGTGGAGATTCCAATCTGTCTCATGAACCTATAGAAACAAGCAACCATTCATTAACATATAGAGATGGGGACAGTACATTAGTAAACTAAAGCCACCATTTCACTATATCTAACACTATCTCCTATCTACTTTACAACCAGTCTGAAAGTTCAGAGTGACCTCCACCAGGGACAGTCGTACTCAGAATGTGGGAAATTGCAGATAAGACTGAAGACTGAAGATTCCGAGCAGACACATTACCCTATCTCTCGAAAGCTTCTGGAGAACCTTGATTTCTGTTTCAGCATTAGCCAAGTCCTGAATGGCCTGGGCAGCCTGAATCCTGCTGCTTTGTAACTCCTCTGCATTCTACACACATATAAACAGATCATCATCAGTGAACTTCTCTCACATTGATTTTGGTCCCGAAAGATCTCAAGCAGTCTGCTCTGTGTCTTACCGCTGCTCTCTCCTGATGTATTTTCTCTATAGTGCTATGAAGAGAGTGAAGTTTGTCCTTTGCTGCAGTCAGTTGTTGGGCAGCCATTCTGTCAGCAGAGGAAAAAGAGCTCCTGAGCGCCTGCAACTCCAGACTGAGAGATTCTAGCTGCTCCTGAGTCTGGCTCTCTTCAGCTTTCACCTAGAAAAACAACACACTTTTAAATACATAGCTGCTTAAAGCAATATCGAAAGTAAAATACAAGTTAAGCTCTATTGTGGAATAAATTAATCATGGCATTTCTATAATGGCACTGGTAACTCTCATGCAGTTTCCATAGTTAGTTTCCAAACCTTACATTTGATTAAAGCTTTGAAATTATATAAAAAAAATGAAAAAAACTTATTATTAAAATATATTTATCACTTATTAAAAAGAATGGATCTGCTATGCTGCTGCTACTGGCAACAGTGAAGCTTACTGTTGAAAAATACTCAGAATTACAGGGATTAGGATGCATATTCCTGCTTCAAAGTAAAGCAGGGAGAACCCCATAGTAGATCTAGACAGGTGGTGCTGGGGAGGAGGAGGGCTAAAGAAAATTCTCACGGCTCGCAGTACTGAGCTGGACCAGGTTGGGACAGAAATAAATAAGGTTGCGTAGACAGGAAAAAGAGATTGACTGGCTGTGCTGCCAGCCTGGAAAAACCAATAATCCACTCTGAAGAATTTTCAGAAATTTAGCAAAAATAGAAGAAAATCAAGAAGGTAGCAAGAAAAATCAAATAAAAAAATCAAATAAATCACTCTCATTCTGGCACCTGTTTATCTTGTTCTTCTAATTCAGCAAGAAGACGGTCCCTGTCCATTTCCGTCTCCTCTAAACGCTGCAGCATCAAGTACTGCTGCTGATGAGCATCTTCCAGCTCCTTCCTCAATCTATGGAGCTCCACCTCCTCACCCCGTCTCTCTGCTGCCTGCTGGAATCAAACACAGGGAGATCAGCATCCCTTTATACTAAGATATTATAATGGAATATGTAGGCATTATACTGGAATATGTGAGCTTTAGAAATGGCAATGTAACTGAAAAATCTATTTCAAATAATGATTACTTGAATTCCACAACATCAACTCACCTGAACCTGGTATCTTTCTTGGTACTTCCCGAGTCTCTCTGTGAGCGAACTCATCTCTCCAGCAAATCTCTCTTGACAGCGCTGGGCCTCGTCTCTATCTCTCTGAGCAGCAGATACCACATGATGCACCTCCTGTTGTAGCTCCATGAATTTCTTATTCACTGGTTCTCCAAGGTCTTCAAAGCTGCAACAGGACAGAATAACAAAGACATATCACCATCTGATAGACACATCTGTAGCCACACAGTCCACTTATTTTAATCTGCTAAAATATACAATAAGAATCTATAATACCGTAGTATTTCTTGTCCTGTAGCTATGGCTCTTCTCAGCTCTCCTAAATGTTTAGCCACACTTTCCGGGCAAAGCAGCTCCTCCCTAACCTGCTCCAAATCACACTGAAGAGCATCCACCTTCTCCTTAAGACTGTCTCTTTCCTGCTGTGAAAGACATTTTCAGCCAGGGATTCAAAGATGTGAAGGCTAAATGATTCTCATACATCAACAACAGCAGAATGTACAGCACACTTTTTTTACAGGCAGTGAGAAGAGTTTGAATGAGTAAAGGGTGTCTGTATTTCAGTGGTCTTTCCAAGTATCCTCTCTTTCCAATAGAGGAAAAAGTCTGACAGAGCTTTATTATTCTGGTATGAAGTCTGTTGTGCAGTAACACACCTGGAGAGCGTTGACCTGTTGCTGAAGCTCTGTGTTCTCAAGCTCTCTGTCGGCAGCCATCTGCATCTGTGCCAAAGCGTTCTCTTTTGCCTGTCTTTCTTTCTGCAACTCTGCCTGCAGTGCAGAGTGCTCCATCTGCAAATGTTAATGCCAAGAAAATGTAAATGTTAAAAAGATTGTTCACTCAGAAAGTACTAGTATATTATGTCCCTAGTTGTCTAATGCCATATGTGTGAGGAACAGACTAAAACTTTACTTATTCATTGAAAATCTCGTTCACTCTTCCACATTTCCAAATTTTAAAATTAAAATTAATATTTTAATTCAGCAAGGATGCATTAAATTGGTCAAAGGTGATAAGAAAAATTTTACATTGTGACAAAAAAACGTCAAATTAATGCTGTTCTTTTTAACTTTCTATATATCAAAGAATTAAAAAAACAAAAAACAAAATGAAAACAAAAATCTAACATGGTTTCCACCAACATATTTAGCAGCACAACTTTTCAACATTGATAAGAATAAGAAATGTTTCTTAAGCAACTTCCTAATTAGTTCCTAATTTAAATAAATGCTGTTCTTTTGAACTTTTCATCAAATAATCCTAAAAATACCACAAAACTATTAAGCGGCGCACGTTTTATGTTTTCAGTATTGATAATAATATGAAATGTTTTTTGAACACCAAATCAGTATATTACAATGATTTCTGAAGAATCATGTGACACCGAAGACTGGAGTAAAATAATAACCACTAAAATAATGACATTTAAAATATAATGAAATAGAAAACAGTAATAATATTTCACAATATTACTGTTTTACGGTATTTTTGATCAAATAAATGCAGTCTTGGTGAGCATAATGTTTAAAAAAATCTTTAATCAAAACATGAAAAAATATTACAGACCCTAAACTTTTGAACGGTAGTGTATGTTTAAGGCACAAGCTCCAAAATGAATGCAAACACTGACGTTTTCTGATCATACACATGAAAGTGTGAATATGTTAGATCTGAAAGGGTGAAAGATAAGATTTTCAGTGAAAAATGACTTAAAATTCAGCTTGGCAGGGACTGAGAATCATCTGTGCCTTTGGAAATAAATCCTCTGCAGCTGTGAGAGCAGACCCATCGCTGGCTGACGAGTTAAACTCTTTCTACAGCCGCTTTGAATGCAATCGAGGCAGCGCGACTCTGCCGATCAGCGCGTCAGGAAGCTGCAGACAGAGCAGCGATAATCATGTAATCACCGTGTCGGAGGACGAGGTTCGGAGGGCCCTAAAGCAAGTGGACGTCAGGAAAGCAGCAGGTCCTGATGGGATTTCTGGATGTGTTCTGAGGTCCTGTGCTGATCAGCTCGCTGGCTTGTTTACATCCATCTTTAATGAGTCCCTTGCTACCTCGGTGGTCCCCACCCCCTTTAAAAAGGTCATATATTCTCTATATAACCATGTATGTGACAAATAAAAAAATCTTGAATCTTGTTGAAGAAGGATGTGATATGATATGTCCTCATCCATATACACAAGCTGAATTGTTGATGAAGGCACTATCACAGGCACAGTCTTAACTTATTTTTTATGGAAAAAGGCAACATGAATATTCAACCTAACATTTTGTGAAATTTAAAGGGGACCTATTATGCAAAAATCCCTTTTATAAGGTGTTTGAACATAGTTGTGTGGCTGCAGTGTGTGAAAACAACCAGCCTATAATGGTACAAACTCACCCACTCATTTTTTTATAATCCCACTAAATTATAAACAGTCTCTCCAAACATTTTCAGATTCTCCCTTTTTTTTTACACGTCACTAAAGGGAAAAAGTCCCGCCCATTTGTGACACTCTCTGCCCTATTAGCATAGACACAGGCCTGAGTGAGATGCAGCGGTCAGCCACTACTGTTTTCCTGCTGTAATGTTAGCTGCTGGAGATATACAATGTCAGCCCAAAGAGGCATTACAAGTGTTGTGTTTTGGGATGCACCAATGAACATAGGAGTCTCCATAGACTCCCTCCATCTGAGCCACTGAGGACACTGTGTTTAAATTTCATTTTCGAAGGAAATATCCCGGAAAAAATCGGTAAAGTCCCCTATATGTTTAGGGATCAATACCAACGCTTCATGCGTGAACGTCAGCTCCAGATAAAGTAAGTATCATACGTTTGTTTTCCAAATTGCCTTTCTGAAAGAGCTTCTTGGCGCTCTGTAAGGCTAATGTTGCTAAAGCTATGCCTGTTTTCACTGGTGCTGCCTTCACGTGCTACCAGAATGATCGTAAATAGGAATGTGGTAGTTAAAAATTGCATGTGAAAGCAATATGAAGTCGACTGCTTGAATTTGTCGAGCTCATAATCACATGTGGGACTTATAAAGTTTGTGATAACAGCTAAGGCACAATGAGAACAGCTGTCGTTATTTTTATCGCGCCGTGCTCCCCGTCTGTGTAATTCATAAGCGATCATTTAGTATGCACAGTACAATCAGATGACTGACTTTTAATCCGAGTACATTTTCTGTAAAAATAACAGGCTTGTACTAATGGTGGAATGTTTATTTGCAAAGACCAGCACCGGTATTGCCAGCCGGATCTTGAGCTCTTGAAGCTCCGCCCTCTTCTGAAAAGGGGCCGGAGCACCAGCTCATTTGCATTTAAAGGGACACACAAAAATGGCGCATTTAGGCTCATACCTTAAAAGTGGCAATTTTAACAAGCTATAAAAATTATCTGTGGGGTATTTTGAGCTAAAACTTCACATACACACTCTGGGGACATCAGAGACTTATTTTACATCTTGTAAAAAGGGTCATAATAGGTCCCCTTTAAAAAAAAGTTGAGAGCAGATTTTTTTTATATTTCTAGAAGAACTACGCCATTGCATAAATAATAATATATTATGCATGAATATGAAAACATTCTATGAAGATATATCCTACTTTACTTAGTCGACGCAGTCTGTTCAGCTCCTCCTTCAGCTGTGTGGCCTCAGTATCTCTCTCCTGCAGTTGAGTCTCCAGCTCTGCCTCATATTCACTGACCTGCCCCTGAGCCTGCTTCAGCTCTTCATTCTCCTTCCTCAGATCCTCCAACTCCTGCTGCTGATGCTGCAGCTCCTAGAACACGACAAACAGTATGATAATGTTTTGACCTATTACAGAGTGGTGAACTCTTATATCAGAGACAGACTCCAACCTCCTGTGCGCTTTTAGCACTCAGAGCTTCTTTCTGCAGCTGTGTGCATTGCTGCTCCTTCTCACATAGGAGGCATTGCAGAGCGTCTTTCTCCCTCTGCAGATGCCTGCAATCTAACTTGGCTCTTCGTGCTTGGTCCTTCACCCCCTGCAGATACTCCTGGAGACCTGCGCTGATGCCCTCCAGGTCACGCTTGAGTGCTTCATTAGCAGCGATCTGACCTGAAAGAGTTGAGTGGTTTCTTCTACTTATTTGATCATTTAAAAATATCGTATTCATAAATTTATAATGGTTCAAAGGCTATCTTTATCTTATTACGGTTAAAAAGCATAATTTAAAAAAAGTTGCTGACCATCAGTAAGTTGTTGCTCTAGTTCTTTTATCTCCTGTGTCTCCTTGTAGATGCGTGTGATCATGTCATCCAGCCTGCTCTCCAGTTCCTGGTGCTTTCTGCTCATGATGGCCAGCAGCTGTGTCTTCTTGGACAACTGAGCCTTTACATGGGCCTGCAGGAACGATAGCAGAGAGAGTTGGGATACAGTGCTATTACATGATCAATTCTGCTGGCCCCTCTTTGTCCAAGATCTCTAACTCAATAACTCTCTAAACAAAGCTGATATGTATCTTTGGTACTTCTTTTGTAACAAAAAAGAAGTACTCAAAAATATAGGTTTATTAAAATATCAGTTTAACTTTGTACATCTTTAATGTTAGTGGTTTTTTTATTTTTATTAAGATTATGCTAATATAACTAAAATGTAAATCATTTTAAGATTGATCAATTTAAGACTGATTCTGCTGAACACAAAAGAAGATATTTTGAATAGTGTCGGTAACCAAACAGATGACAGTAGCCACTGGCTTTCATATATGTTTTAACTATTTCCCAGTATTTTTGACTATTTCCATAGTCAATGGCTACCGTCAACTGTTTGGTTACCAACATTCTTCAGAATATCTGCTTTTGTGTTCAACAGCTGAAAGAAAGTCATACATGTTTGAAACAACTTGAAGGTGAGTAAATGATAACAGAATTTTCATGTTTGGGTGAACTATCCTATTCAGGCCAATTTATACCAAGGATTATAACTATAACAAATAATGATAACGAAAAAGTTTTAATAATCTTTTAAATATTTTACAATAGTCCACAACTGCAACAGCATAGCAACACCCTGACAACCACCCCAAACATCCTAGCATCCTGGAGGTGGCTTTCATTGGCAAAGACCCTCACAGTTCTTGTAGAAAATGTAAAAAAAAAAAAAATCTAGTGTTATCACTAGACTGTATTAATCATTAACATATTTAAAACTGATCTAGACTGATTATTGATTCCCAGTCTTTTCAAATCATTCTGATACAAATCCCAGAACTCAAAAAAGTCAATTCACATACACTGAAAAAATATATATAAAAACAATTTTTACTGAGAAATTGCTAGTTAATATTACAATTAATTACAAAGAGACAGCAGGTAACAAATTGAATTTAAATTGAAAATTACATACGTTTTTAAATAAGTTTGAAATTAAGTTTGAAAAAACTTTGAAAAATATATATTTTTTACAGTGTACAATATCCAACCAAAATAACAATCCAAACAGGATGCAAATTGGAACGCAGGGACAGTCTTGGACTTCTGCATTTGTTACTTCTCAACCCATTCACGTCCTCTTCCCTCCCAACAAAAAATTATCTCAAAGTGAAAATGTAACACTTTCATTAAACATTCATTTTAAACAATGCCTCGTTCACAGGCAAGTCTGCTTTAAAACTTTAAACCAACACTATTTATATATAACGATTTCAAAGGTATATAGATTTATCTAGTGGTTAACTCATTCAATACTGTGCATTCTTTTTGTCCACTGCTCTCATAAAATATGCAAACCAGCAAACTCTGATGACATAATGCCTTTGCAATTTCCTGTTATAAACACTGAAAATGTACAACATTCATGAAACATCATACTGTAATGATCAACTTTAAAAATGAAATAATGTTCAATGATGCTAGATACCAATAATAACTTCTACAAACAACATTACAAGCCCCAAATTGCAATAGTATGACAGCAGCCTCCCACGAGCCCCTCCTTGACCCCAGTGGGGTACTTACTACAGCGGTGTGGCTGCCATCTCTTCACTTTCTGTCTCTATATATCCATTTTTCTCATGTTGCTGACCCACGAGGAGTAACAGGGGCTCCTTGTGCAGGAAGAGAACATTTCCGGTCTCTTTTAGCTGTTACTTTAAACTTCAGAGGACTCCAACTATCACTAAAAGTAGCCCCCTCTTCTAGACTTCATTCTCCCCCTCCTCCTCAATCCCTGCACTCTTTACACTCTTTCTCAACTCTCTTTGAATCAACACAGGAAACTTTCGGTGGCCTCAGCCAATCAGTGTCTGTGTCTGTGGCCGGGTGGGAGTAAGGAGCCTCTCTGGCTCCACCCACAGCATCAACAGATTTCCCAGGACAGAAGTGCTCTCTTCTTTCTTAAAGAGACAGGAGCTTCATTTTATAAGCCTGCTACTCGCTGCTGAGCATCATGGGTTAGTGATGATTAATTCCATAGAGAACCTAATCTTGTTATACACCTTTGTTGTTAGGGAGTTTCCAGTTATTTTACACTCATTTTGTCCTACACTGTTTGCATGCCATTTTCTTCAACAGAAAACGGGAAGACGTGCATTTTTTTTGCTGTTATATAACATAAATAAACTAATGATCTCACATATGAATAAAATATCTGAATAGTTCAGAGGCTTATGGTATAAACAACACAACATATACAGACAATAAAACGCTTTACAGTCATGAAAATGATGTTGTGGCATTTGCAGATGTTGCCGAAAACAGGTTCTTGCCTAAATCTATAACATAAAGCATTATCTGCAATAAATGCAATATTTGTTCTAAGATTATTTATCAATTAGATTTCACATTCCAACTATGGTAAAATAGCAAATATAGACAAACTTGTACTGTACATTAGTCAAAATCTATTTTAATGCTTTAAGCTGTCTAGCAACAGCCAACAAAATATTATTAATTTTAACAGAAAAATAATGTATAATGTGAAATATAAAAAATGCTACAGTAAAACCTGTTAATTGTTAAAGTGGTAACTAATTTTTCTCCATATGTTGAACTTACTCACCAACATGCAATTTAAAAAAAATTTTTTTTTTTGCATGTAAAAAGTATAAATGACAAATAAAAAGTTTATATTACAAGTCTTTACATGTACACTACTGTTAAAAACGCTTGGGGTCTGTAAGATTTTTTAATGATTTTGAAAGAACTCTCTTATGCTCCCCAAAACTGCATTTATTTAAATCAAAAATACATTAAAAACAATAATATTGTAAAATGTATATAAAAAGAAATGTTTTGTAACAATGTAAATGTCTGTACCATTACTTTTGATCAACTGAACATGTCCTTGCTGAGTAAAAGTATTAATGTCTGAATATATTTTATTTTGTTTAATTAATGTTCGTTGGATTATTTTAGTGTCATGTACTTGTATTTATACCCTGGTGCTATTTGTCTTTGTTTAGATTAATTAGCCATTATTTTTAAAATGTCCATTAAAATTAACCTTAATTCTTAATAATGTGGCCATCTGTATTGTTGTATCTAAACTGTTTACAGTACAAAGAAAATGTATATAGTTTAAGTATGTTAGTATATTATCATTACATCAGTTCATGAATAACGATACATACTTTGATGAACTATAAAATAAAACATTTATACAGTAAATTTCTAGCGACCACTGCTTTATATACTGTAAATTTAACAGGATGTTTTACAATGTTCAGTTAAGGCTAATAAATTGCATTACTAAGAATTGTTTTAGCAATTATTGTTAGAAAAACATTTATTTATTGAACAATTGGTGTGTTTTTCCCTACTGTGTTATGCATATAATAATCCTCAAGAGAATTATTTTCACGAGGCTGTTCAGACATGAGTGTTACTGACATGTCTGGGGTCACTGGGATCCAGGCTGTGCAGTAGATTCTGCAGCTGGTCCATTTCCTCCTGGGCTTGGTTCCTCTCAGCATTCAGTCTGTCCAGCTGCCTCTCCACAGCCTCCATCTCTCCTCTCATCTCTCCCAGCCTCTGTATCCTCCTCTGAAGCTCCTGCCTGAGCTGATCCTTCTCAGCCTCACAGATCTATGTGCAAATCAACATAGATGGATTAAATAATTAAAAATGAATCTGAATGTGGACTCTGCCATTAAGTTTTACTTAGCTAGTGGTGTTTTTTTTTTGTTTGTTTTATTTAAAAAGCCATTTACATAAGACGTTTAAAGGGGAACATCTCACCCATCTCTGAGAAACTGTCTCCTCTAGCTGCCGGAGCTCTTCACTGGCTTTAAGGATCTGCTGCTCTTTTGCCTCAATTTCTTTATGCAACTGCTGTAATCGCTCCTCAGCTTAAACCAAAACACAACACAAAACACAGATGCATTAGTAAAAGTGCAGACATGTGGATATTACAGTGGCCACAAAAAAAGTAAAAAAAGAAGGGAAAATGTCCTTCATCATTTGTTGGTAGCACTGGTAATAAGAGCAAACAACTACAGATTGTTCCAAGTAAAGAGAGTAAAAAAAGGAAAAGCATGTGTAATGTTATCATTTTATGAATCTATTTAGAGCCTTTAATATAATATGAGGGCACAGTGCCCTTGAACTTTTGTACCTCTAAGCTGAGCATGTTCTCCTGGGGTGTCTGTCTCAGTCAGGTCCGCTGAGGCAGGCTGCTGCTGGTTTTGTGCACCCATGCTATCCGTCTCTGATTGAAATGTGATGTTCCTTTTCTGACGAGACTTTCCTATGTATGGACTCTCGCTAGAAAGGTTCTCCACCTCCACATCCTGAACAACAAAGAGAATAATCTCTCTAAAAATCATATAATCCTACCAGATACAAATCAGCATTGTATCATATACTTCTAAAATGGACATTCTCGGATAAATGTCTATAAAGAAACACGCTAATGTCAATATACTGTTGTTATTAGGACTAAAGTAAAGTCATTTGAAGCTTTTGTATTTCAGAATTTAATCATCAAAGATCAAATGTATGAAATGTCACCTATGAATGAATCAGAATGTAACACGCAGTTAAAGCCTCGCGATGACCAATAATCCTATATTATTATAACATATTATTTTGTTTTCTTTGCTTAAAAGTGGAACTGAATCAATTAAAACTTCATATACTGTACTGCATTTTGAATGATGCACCATCATTCAAAAGTTTAAGGTCAGTAAGATTTATGGATGATAATAAGAAGAAATGTTTTTGAGCACTAAATCAGCATTAGAATGATTTCTGAAGGATCATGTGACACTGAAGACTAAAGTAATGGCTGCTGAAAATTCAGCTTTAGTGATGAATTGCATATAAAATATATTAAAATAGAAAATGTATATAGTTACACTATTACATTATATTTTAAATTGTAATAATATTTCACAATATTATTGTCTTTACTGTATTTTTGATCAAATAAATGCAGCCTTGGTAAGCATAAGAGACTTCAACCCTAAACTTTTGAACGGTAGTATAAATTTAGAGACCAATTAAAAAAAACTATAATTAATCCCTCTAACACAAAAAAGAAAATCACAATGAGTAGTCAATTTTTATCTATCCAAAGCTCTAGTTATTAATAAATCAAAGCAAATACTTACAGGATCTGGATAAAACGGAAGAGGTTCAAACTTGGCATCTATTTTGTGAAAAGCCAACTCCTGCTCAAGCTCATAGTGTTTCTGACAGGCCCGGGTCAACTCCACTGTTTTCTGCTTCAGCTGTGTAATAAGAGAGAGCTTATTTAAACACAACCCTTTACATACCACCATGAAACACATCAGCCACACTTCACTACAAACCTCTCAGCTCGGAATGAGATTGCATCTTAAGGATACGTGTAATACAAAATTGTTACACTCATGGAAATACACAAAGCAATGAATGATATTTTAAGATTTCTATTAATATAGAAGGCATACATGCAAAAACCTCAGAAACATGCTAAAGAACATAACAATACCATACCATCAACATCGCTCTCTAAAGCGAACACCTGAGAGGACAGGAGAACACAGTGTTGACATCATACAGTGATTGGTGGGGCACATGTGAATACCTGACAGAGAGAATCCAGCAGAGGAGTATGATGTGGAAGCTGAGATTGAAGCAGGAATGAAGAGAAGAGACAGTAGAAGGCATGCAAACAGTTTAATGTAAAAGCACAGGAGTGAAATATACAACAACAACAAAAATCAGCAGGGAAAAGAAAAGTTTGAAGAATAGAAAAATTTGCTTTGCCAACATAGGAAACACATAACATATTCGTATAGAAAACAGTTATTTTTGTGGTTGTGATTGGCCGAATACCTCAAGCGTGTGACGGAAATGTTACGCCCCTCACATACTGTGATGCCCTGTCCAGCCGGAGCGACGAGACAAAAACATTAAAACCCATTATAAACGAGGCATTTGTTGCATCCAGTGGGGACATAATTACGGATTATAATGACTTATACTGTCTTTTTACACTTTGCGTTGCATCGCGCCGCGTAAACATAAAACCATGTCTGCATTTGTGATCGGAGAAATGACAAACAACAAGCGCTACTCTACACTGCCCAAAACTCGCGTTTGAATCATCAGTGGCAACGAAAAACACAGCGGCCTAGCGTGAGGGGAAGCCCCGG